AAAAAACACTACTTAGAACAGGTGTCGCCAGTCCTTAAATTGGAAGAAAGCATTTATGATAAACACATATGACTAATAATTTGTATCTGGAATATATAAAGAACCCCCATAATCCAATAAAACAAGGGCAAACAACAAAATTTAAAAATTAGATCAAAGATTTAGACAGACACTTTACTAAATAATATGAATTATAAGTTTGTTTATGAAAATAGCTCAACATCTTCTGTCATCAGGGAAATGAAAATTATAACTGTGGTAACTTACCTTCCCACCAGATGGCTAAATTTAAAAGGACTGACACCAACAGTTAAAGAGGTAGACAACTGGAACTCCCATGCATTACTCATTGGAATATGAAAGATTTTAACCACGATGGCAAATAATCTGGCAGGTTCACCCATGAGAATACATTTGGCAGCATTTATCCATGAGAAAAGAAAATGTATGTTCATAAAAAGGTTGTTCACAGTAGCTTTCTTATAATAGCAAAAAAACAGACATAATAAATTTTCATCCATGAATGAACAAATTGTGTTGTACTCATCCAATGGAATACAACTAAGCATAAAAATAATAGATGATTGATAACTGACAAAACATGGTTGACACTCAAATATAGTTTAAGGGGAAAAAATCACAATACTAAAGAAGACACTATAATACTGAATGATTCCTTTTACATGAAGTTGTAGAAATAGCAAAAGCAATCTGTAGTCAAGGACATCAGAACAGTAGTTACATTTGGCAAGGAGTGGTAGTGGGGATTGACTATCCCAGGGCCACAGGAAATTTTCCGAGATAATGAACATACTCTGTATCTCTATTTCAGATGTAAGCATTTCTTAGCACACATTAGGCTACATTACTGAGAATTGTGCATTTTTCTATATATAACGTTTTTCTCAAGTAAAAACATTAAAAAGGAAAAAAGTGGTCAAGATTTTAACACAAAAAGTGTTAGGGAAGTTATGGGGGAACAAAAAGATTATGTTCATTCTGTGAAGCAGGTATTATGGATGTCTTAGAGAAGGTGATATTTCTTCTGCCTCTTAAAAATGATAAGGGATTCTGGACCACAGACATTGTGGGAAGGAAATTTCAGTAAGATGTTTATGAAGAAGAGTAAGCAAAAGTATAGTTACAGAAGTATGTAGGATATTCAATGAGCAGCAATTAATTTCTTTTAACTAACAAGTAAAAGGAATGACGAAGCCAGATAGATGAGGAATTTGAAGCAAAGGGAAGAAGACTGGATTTTATTCCATAGGTAAGTGAGGCACACAAATGATTTTCCACAAGTGAGTGACATGATCAGAACTATGGTTTTGAAGGGATAATACAAATGACAATATGAATGAGAGAGGAAGAGAAGCAACTGTGAGGCTCTTGAGATTTTCCATCGAGATAAAGTGAATAGAGTTGTTGTAGCAATACAAAGGAGGAATCAAACATTCTGGGTGTAAATCAGAAAAACTCAGCACATGTTGGACCAAAATAGCAAAGAAAAAGTAAAGCTAAATAATGATGTAAGTTTTCAAGCTGTAATTGCCCAGTAGAGTGTTGGCAACATAAACAGAATCTCTTAGGTCTATTTCTGAATTTGCCATCAGTATCAAATTGCTAAATAATATTTAGAAATATATAGTAATGGTTTAATTTCTGTCATGCTTGAAACAGACTAAAAGAGTATCTGGAGCTTAAATGAAGACCAGTTATATGTTTAGGCAGAGATTCTCTTGGTTTCCTTATAAGGAAGAAACTGTCTAGATTTCCACAATCTGCTTCCACCCCCACCAAATATGTCTTCTATGCTATTTTCATTCCTTTTCATTAATACTTTGCTTCCATTAGAAATGAAAATATCTCCTAGAAGGTTTCGCATACACATCCATTACTATTTTAGTATGAATCAGCGTCTTGAAAAATAACAGTGGTCATCTGTAAGGCCAGAGTCATGAGATGGAGATCAGGTAAGTTTCAAAGAAACGGGAAAAAAAAAGAATCATCTTATAGATCCCTGAAGTGAGGAGTTTGGGAAGCCAGGATGAAGTGGTGTCTTGAGGATGCAGACTCTCTGAATCAAATGCAACAAAGGGAAGAGAGGAAAAAGCAGAGGGAGGCAAGGATGTGGGAAAATAATGTCTATCCATTTCATAACTGTAAGACCAAATAGTGACAGAAAGCAAACAGCAAAATCTCTAGTAGCTGTAGCATAGGTGAGCACATTGTCAGTCATGATGAAAGAGGATGAAAAATCGTCTTTGCTCAGGCTGTGGTAACCAAATACCTTAGACCAGGTAATTTATAAACATTAGAAGGGTTCTGGAGGCTGGGAAGTCCAAGATCAAGACACCAGCAGACTTGGTGTCTGATGAGGACCCTTCCCTCATAGTTGGTGCTTTCCATGTGTCCTCACATGGTAGAAGAGACAAGGCAGCTCTCTGGGGCGTACTTCACAAGGGCATTAGTCTCATTCACAAGGATGGTGTCCTCATGACCTAATCAACCTCCAAAGGCCCCACCTTCTAATATTATCACCTTGGTGATTAGGCTTTAACATACAGATTTTGGGGAAACACAAACAGTCAGACAAGGAATTGGCTTTGTGCCAGCACCATCACTTCCATTCAGGCAAGCTGTGAAAGAGAGGACTCTGTATGTGTAATAATCACTGGCATCTTCATGTTTCTTCCTCTCCCATCAATCACTATCAAAACCAACCTTGACACTCAGGTACAGAAAAAAACGATTAACCTCTGAATATGTTACTTGCTTTCTGTATAAAGTACAGTAGTGTAGCTCAATGGCTTTCACCTTTTTGGCCCAAAGTAAAAGATGGATATTAAGATATGTCCTGATAAGCACAGGTATGTAAAACAGAGACACAACTGGTACTGAGTTCTATTCAATTCTGTTCGATTTCATCCCATCTCCTCTTATTCCATCCATTCCATACACTTTACTCTACTCTACTCCATTTCATTCCATTCTAATGTGTTCTACTTTATTTCATTAAAAAATTCTGGTGTCAACCTATGCATTGATGTCGTGACTCACTAAAAGATTGAGATGGACAATTTAAAAAGTATAAACACGTTGTGTCAGAATTCAGGCTGTGTGTGCAGTGCAGGTGTGAATGCCCCATGTGTGTCTATATTTAACATGTAAAGGTACCCCTTACTCTGTACCCCAGACATGTACATTTTGCTATCCTCAGTCCTATCATACGTCATACCCTTTTTATAACTAATAGGATGAATCACTCCTTTACTCTTTTTTTTTTTAGAGACGGAGTTTCAGTCTTGTTCCCCAGGCTGGAGTGCAATGGTGTGATCTCGGCTCACCGCAACGTCTGCCTCCTGGGTTCAGGCAATTCTCCTGCCTCAGCCTCCTGAGTAGCTGGGATTACAGGCATGCGCCACCATGCCCAGATAATTTTTTGTTTTTTGTATTTTTAGTAGAGACAGGGTTTCACCATGTTGACCAGGATAGTCTCGATCTCTTGACCTCGTGATCCACCAGCCTCGGTCACCCAAAGTGCTGGGATTATAGGCGTGAGCCACCGCACCAGACCCTCCTTTACTCTTTTGGAAAAAAACAATTGCTACTATAACACACAGTACTCACACAGTTTTAAGCAATTATACTGATATACAACTAAAGAGGAATAAAGAGAAATAGTTTATGATAAAAACATGTATTTAATGACCAGGAACAACCATACGAAAAGGTGTTTCAATTTTTTGTTTTTGTTTTTGTTTTTGTTTTTTGCGAACAGGGTCTTGGTATATTGCTCAGGCAGATCTAGAACTCCCGGGCTCAGGTGATCCTCCCACCTCTGCCTCCCTAAGTGCTGAGATTACAGGTGTGAGCTACTGTTCCCAGCCACACTAGAAGATGTCATAAAGTGATCCCATTCACACCCATGCATACAGTCGCCGTGAAATTGACCAATCCAGTGGGATGACTGTAGGGGTGTCCTGCTGGAGGCTCACGTGCTGCAGTTGTGATGTCAACCTGATTTTCCAAAATGCCAAGCAACTCTTAGTAAAGTTCCAATCAAAACAAACCTGTATTCAGGTCTATCTTCACTCAAGGAAGCTTTGCATCATTCATAAATTTATTACATATTAGAACCCTGCAAATGTTATTTGTACTTATACATAAAACAGACAGAGTTTAGGTTCAGAAAATTAAGTAACTGTTTACATGAATATCCGGAAAGACTCTGAAGTTTTGTGGGACTTTCTTACTCATTGAAGAATATTTAACATCCTTGGTCTCTGTTCTCAAAATGCATCCTCTCCCAATCTGTGTGAAAATCAGAACTGTCCTATAATTTTCTAACTGCATCACCTCTTTTGAAAACACAATTTCAGAGTAAGGCAGTCCTGCTATTTACTAATTGTGTGGCTTTGGGCAAGCTGTTCAACCTAAGTCCCAAATGTCCTCACCTAAGTCCCAAATAAAATTGAGATAATGTAAAAAGGTATTCAACAGTGTTTTATTGAAGATAAAGTCAAGTCTGATATAATAGCACAGTGCCTAGAATTACAGTGAGGAGTGCAATAGTTGTGTGTAACCTTAATAATGGTTATTTTAGAGTCTCTACATTACTGCTATAATAAAAATGATAATAATTGAACTTAAAAATGTACTTATTCTATGGCGTACAGTTTTTCTTCTAGTAAGGAAATAATCAAATAGCGTACAAAGATTTTTACACAAATGTATTTGCTACAGCATTACTTAAAACAAGAGAAAATGTAAAATACTCCAAAATATTCAACAACAGAAGTTGTTCAAATATATTATGAAAATATAACATGATTGAACATTAAAACCCATAACAATCTTGGAAAAAATATGTAAAGATAATACCTAAATAAGTACAAATTACAAAATAGCATATACAGATTAATTCAAGATTTACTAAATATATATAATATATGCATACACAAGTATTTATAAATGTCTTGAAAAAGATAGGCCAACCTGTTAATAATGTTTTTCCATGAATGATTATATGATAGGCCATATTTTAAATGACTGTCATCATTCAACTGGTCTATGAGAAGTCTAAATTTACTTTTCGACAGGAAATGATGTTTGTATGGACATACATCTATATATCTCTGCTTTTGTTGTTTTTACAGAAAGCAAACAGAAAACAATCTTGTCTTTTTTAGTAGCATTGCTACCAAAACACCAGGGGTCCTGTCTAGGTCCTGCCCCTCACTGCTCAGAAAGTCAGTGACAGAGACTCCAAGTATTGCCAAGGAAGAAGATTTTAATTGGGTTCCACAGCCAAGGAGATGGAACCTTAGTCCCACATCCATCTCCCTGACTGACAAAAATCAGGGGTTTATATTGCAGGCCAGAAATGTAACAATGTGTAATAAAACAGGAACTTGGGAGGGGCAAGGAAGACATCACAGTGAATCAGGAGTCCAGCATCCAGTGCCGTGATCTGGTTTCAGTTCTTTAATACTTTGTGTGAGAGTCCTGAAGGTGGTTTCCTGAGGAAGGAATTCAGATAAAACAAATAGAAGTTTCAAGCTTTTTAAGATCAGAAGGATCAATTTCTGTGTTTATGAAAAAGAACATTCTATGGGGCAATTGGGTCAGTTTCAGTATTACCATCAGGGTAAACAAAAGTGATTACTCTTACAGCAAAATTGCAAATCACTCAACAGATGAAAGATTTTGACCAGTTTGGCAATGAGTGAAGTGGGTGAGAAAAAGCATGGGTTGATTACGGTGACGCTTTTGAGTAATCATCCAGATTATTGATGCATCAAACCACATCCTAGAGAGAATGCAGAGCGTGTTCTTTATTCCCTAATCAAATCCTTAGCCCTTTTGGAGGTGCTGCAGTGAGCAGTGGTCAGATTCCTTCTGGGGTTCAACTGCTAGTCTTCGCAACATGTCACATATTACAAAAGTCCATGTCATAAAACCCTCTGGGATACCAGGACGAGGAACTGCCAAAGAGAAGAAAACATTGAAGAATGCAATAGCAGCAATAATAACTTTGAATTTGCTTGCCTCTTCATTTTTTAAAAGTATGTGTACAAACATGCACAAAAATAACATCACAAAATGTTGGTGAGAACCAGCATTTGAAGTTTACATACTTATGGAGCTTGGTGAAAGCTGAGTCTAGAAATTGATGATACATGAAGAAAGATAATAAACAATTGCTTAAGAGCCATTTTCAGCTACATTTCTGGAAGGTTTTAAGTTTTCCTTTATGAGCAGTCATACCAGAAATGTGTTCCTTTTCCTAAGCCAACTATTATTCTCTTTGGTCTCTAAGCCCCTAAGGTGCACACTTGAAGATGGCGAAGGAGCTTTAAATAAGCCAAGATTTTATGAATATAAAAATTGAATCTAGGCTACTTCTAAATATAATGTATTATTTTGTAATACATAAAATAATTTATTTTAAAAATCAATTTAAAGTCATAAACGTGGAGCTTTTGAGTCACTTGTGTGATGTAACAAAATATATAATTAGAGGGTGGCTTCCAATACTATTCACTCCAGCTAATTTTGCCAATTAACGCTAAATGCATGATAATAGGTCAATAATGTGGGTTCTTTTAATTCTTGTAAAACGAAAGTCCTGTGTACCTCTCCTGTTCTAGAAGGAATGCTCGCTTTGTGGTAACTCTACGTTTCTGGTTTACCTTTTTAACTAATAAGGAAGATACTTTTTTTTTTAGTAACTCATTTCCTCTTACATAATGCAGTTCTGCAGTTTAAATGCTAATTGGCCATTTTGGCTGAGGAATTCCTACTTGAAAGGTTTGCCATTTAATACCAAAGTGTCTTTTGATTTCTCGAGAATGATTAAATGGAAATTCAGCCCTGGTTCAGTATCGTAGAAGCCCATGTGTGCTCCCCTGTTGAATTTCCATGGTTCGAGCATCCTGCTGGGAAAGTCAGGCTGAGATTTTATTGAATTGGGCCCTCCGTATTCAGACTCAAAATAACCTCCAGCACACTGATAAAAATAATGACCCTTTTGCAGTTGTAAAACTTGAAACTATTCCTTGAATGTTAACTAATGCTAAAAAGCTGTTTCTGCACATGAAATGGGGGTATTGGAGCCAAGAAATTACTCTGGATGAAGACCTAGAGATAACAGTCCACTTTCTCTTTCAGTAATTACAGAATTGTGAACTTTTCATTAAAGCGGGCGAAGCCATCACTCCACATTTCATTAACAGAAGGGTACATAGAGATGATGACCCTGGCGGTGTGTGGGGATTTAGTCACCTCTGCCTACAGAATTCACCAAGAATGACCTTCTCAGTCCCCAGTGCTAATGGCTTCAACAACAATAACATTTTGTAGTTGATGGGAAAAAAAAGGTACAAACTCAAATAAATGTTAGGAAATGCTGATAACTCAGAGTATTTGACATCTGTTTCCCAAAGCCCTTAACAGTGTAAACACTTTCAGGTAAAACTACGCAGTCCTCCCATCTTCCTACCCTCAGGAGCCAGGAAGTCTTTTACTCACAGCCCCTTTAATGGGCAATGGGAAATAGCCCTATTAGCTAAGTTTATTTATGCTGACACAAAGAAAACCATGAAAAAAAAATCCAGGTTCTAAACTGTAATTTATTCCTGATAAGTAGTAAATCAGCGGGATTCCACTGCCCAAGTAGGGAGGGTCTTGCCGGTAAACAAGAAGGGAAACATAATGAGTTTCATAAATGTTCACCGTCTTACAGAGCTGTTATTTATACCTGAGCTCATTCAGCAAACACTCCTGCTGGTTTGGCCGGGATAACCTGGTGTATCCGAGACACTATAAGATATATAAGAAAAATGGTGAATGAATTCTAGAGTTGAGTTCAAGAAAAGGTTTTGTTCTCAATTATGTTTTCCTCTTCCAAGATTTTCTGAACACCTATGTCAGGTTTTTAAATCCAAGTCCTCTGCTCCTCTTGTTTTTGGTAAAGGTAACAATTGTCTAGACTGTATTACATGAGATGTAGATAAACAAATTTTGACAATTTTTCTCCAACTAAAACAGAAAATAGTTGACTCTATAAAAGATGACACAGAATATTTACAGAGTAAAATCATACTTTGCTTATATCTAAGTAAATGATGGTCTGATGCACTGTACACATCAAATATGTGAATGAGTCCATTTCTACATTCAAGCAGAGCGTGTGACAAAAAATTGGGCTATTGAAATGATCAAAAAGAAGCCTGATGGGTTAAGAGAAAGAAGGCCTGAATTTTAATCTCAGATTCTCTATTTACCAGCTATGTAAAATGCATTCACTAACATAACCTCAGTCCTATAAGTTTTGTCGGAAAGCAAAGGAACAGAAAAAAAATCAATCTGAAAGTGCAGGAGTGGAAGGAGGTAGGGAAAATTCTGGAACATAAAAGCACCGTTAGGTTAGGGTGGAGTTAAAAGAGAGATGGCAGTGGGGTGACCTGGTAGCACCATGAGTTTCTGGAACACCTTGGGATGTTACGCCTTAAACAAAGAAAAGGAATGACAAATATTAGCTTCTACCGTGTGTGTGTGTGTGTGTGTGTGTGTGTGTGTTTGTGTACAAGAGGTGACCTTGGATGGGCTGGAAGGGTGTAGTTTTAGACTTGCTAGTATGTAACCACTGCCATCTGCTTCTAGCCCACAAGCTGCTCTGAATGTGGAAATACACCTGCTTCTGAATTGCACTGATGTTTTCTAGTAAACTTGGCCTTTTGTTTTCAGCAAGGAAGAGAGAGAGAACAAGGCCATTGTTTTCTTACTTAATTCTAGGCCCTGCTTCTGAGGCTTTTTCTGTAGCTCAGCTTTGTCTATAAATCTCAAGCAAGCCAAACACACACTATCAATTTTGTGTAGCCCTCGCTAAGGCACTGAAAGGAAAGTAAAAGTAAGGAGAAATAAAAGGGAGAAAGGTCAGAAAAAGGACCCCGAGCATATTTTATTACACCAAGAGTATACCTGATACATGTTATAAAGATGCGGTCTCATAGATCAAATCCTGGGAACAGGGTGAGGGGCTCAATTCAGGTATTTAAGATTGGCCACTTTTAGGAGCTTTCTCTCTCTCTCTCTCTTTTTTTTTTTTTTTTTTTTTTTTGAGACGGAGTTTCGCTCTTGTTACCCAGGCTGGAGTGCAATGGGGCGATCTCGGCTCACGGCAACCTCCGCCTCCTGGGTTCAGGCAATTGTCCCACCTCAGCCTCCTGAGTAGCTGGAATTACAGGCACACGCCACCATGCCCAGCTAATTTTTTGTATTTTTAGTAGAGACGGGGTTTCACCATGTTGACCAGGATGGTCTCGATTTCTTGACCTCGTGATCCACCCGCGTTGGCCTCCCAAAGTGCTGGGATTACAGGCATGAGCCGTCTCTCCCGGCATGAGCTCTCTCTAAATAAAATGCAGATTTGATTGCTTTGGGAAAAAAAATACCCAGGAACTCAGTGAGAATGGTACTCTGTTGTTACCTCTCTGTGTTTTCTCTCTGTGTTGAAGAGTTTGCTGTTTATAAGTAGAACTTCAATATTCTAAGTCTGTGTTGAGACGTACTCACTTGGAAAAGCCATTTTTAACCAGAGAGGGATTTTAAGGACTAGCAGAAATGGATTCCAAAACAAAGGGGCTACTCCCTATGAATAAGACAGCATTGGCTCCTCTTCTTCTGTGTCCCGCGTTGTTTCCAAAATACTCTTGGCTTCCCTGCTGGGAAACTTGTGCCTGTCAGTGAATCTCTTTATGTCGATATGCATGTCTAAGCAGTGACATCACAATCTGTATGACCTCATTAAAAGCCAAAGTGTGCATGCATTCCATTTCTCAAATGAAACTATTAACTCAAAGGTATACATCAAGTTATAAGAACAGATTATATAAGCAATTTCTTAAAATACATGTCTTAAATATATTTACCTTCCCAGGAAGGGACTGAAAACATGATTATTCCCAGAACTCCCTCTTGTTCTTTCCCTCCTCTCTTCACTTTGCTTTAGAAAGCAATTAATTTTGGATCACATGCTCATTTCTATGCATAACTTGAGAAGAACTTTGAAAGGTATGGTCCAAGTTTTATAAAAATTGCATGGGGCCAGGCGCAATGGCTCAGGCCTGTAATCCCAGCACTTTGGGAGGGCGAGATGGGTGGATCACGAGGTTAAGAGATGGAGACCATCCAGGCCAACATGGTGAAACCCCATCTCTACTAAAAATACAAAAAATTAGCTGGGCGTGGCGGTGCACACCTGTAGTTCTAGCTACTCGGGAGGCTGAGGCAGGAGAATTGCTTGAACCAGGAAGGCGGAGGTTGCAGTGAGCCGAGATTGTGCCACTGCACTCCAGCCTGGTGCCTGGTGACAGAGTGAGACTCAGTCTCAAAAAAAAAAAAAAAAAAAAAAAAAAAAAAAAAAAAAAAAAAAAAATTGCATGCGCTTTATCTTGCACTAGAAAAATTATCACCATCTATTTAAGAACCAAGCATTTATTGAAAGTACAGTTTGGTAAAAAACACGTGTATTACCTGCCTTTGCCCACTAGCATGAATAAAGTCTGTGAAACTATAAAACACACACGTGGGGCAACTTTTTTTGTCCAACACAAACCTGACAAAAACCTAACAGAAATACAAAAATTGTAGTTTTAAATAAAAGTGGTTCCTTCTATAAAGGCACAAACTGTTTATTTCTATTACAGTAAGAAAATAGGCAAAAGCTGAAAGGAAACTCCAGGATGCTTGAATCTACACTGCAGGAGAGATTCTGCCCCCCCTGGCACAGGCTCCTGTGCCTCTCCACGCACGTGCACATCCTACATTCTGGATGCAGGAGAGGAAAAGAAGTATGCATGCCCAGGCATCTAATAAGACAAAACCTCAGGAAAAAGCTAATAAGAGAAACACATCCAAAAGGGAAGAAGAGAACAGATTTCTTAGCTACAGCTAGTGAGTAGCAGGGGAAACTGAAAAATGCTCACATTCTTTTTTTAGAGTACTTACAAGATTTTATTTATAAAAGCAGGAAAGAAATATGTCCTCACTGTTGACTTTCAGTCATGACATGTAGACAAAAGGCTGAAATCCTGCAAAGGTACCAGATAATCCTTTTTGGACACACAAACATATACTCAGACAGCACAAGTGTGAACACATGCTGTATAAAACATAAGTGTAAGCAAAACTGATGTTATGAGTTTAGGAAGGAATCCATATACTTTCTAAGATGCTTTGTCACTGTCTTCAGTTTGACTTTACTGGGGAATATGGTTGAATGTCCTGAAAGGGCACACCAAGCCTGTCTTCAGAAGTAGAACTTGAAAGTGATGATTTAATAGAACAGGATTAAAGTCATCAGGAAAATTGGTTTTTGCACCATGCTATGACATGCTTTAACTTGAAAATAGATTTTCGATAAAATGAAGTGTGCAACTCTTACGTGTCCAGCTTAATTAATTATCACAAGGAGAAATTACCCAACAAGCCGCTCTCCATGTCAGGAAAATACAACTTCACTTAAATCTCAAGAACTTCCCTTGTGTTATTTTCCAGTGACTCTTGTCTCTTTCCAAATGGAGCTGACACTTTGACTTATAAGACTATGTTGAATTTTTTTGAGTTTTCTATTCATAGAATGATATGGTTTGAATTATTTGTATTTCACTTGTTATACATATCACTATGTAAGATTCATTTAGATGACTGCACATGTTAGTTCATTCATTCTTCTTGCTGATGATAACCCGTCATCATCATTGTGAAATCCAAATCAATTTCCTAGTTCTACTATAGATGATCATTTCAGTTATTTACAGTCTGCCTTTCACAACTATAGCTTCTGTAAACATTTGTATGTATTTCTTGATCTTCTATTAGCTATTCTCTGGGAGTAAAATTATCTGGCAATAGGCTACGTGTATATTCAACTTCAGCGAACAATATCAGTCTTTTAAACTGAGTGTTCCAATTTAGTCTCTAGCCAACAGTGTTCTATCCACACCAAAATATTTTACCAACTACTGCATGAAGTGTGTGAAAATCTGCAACTACGACTGCAGATTTGCCTCTCTGTTTATTTCCGAAAGTTCTGAGTTTACATATTTTGAGACTATATTATTAGGAGCATGCGTAGAATTAGACATCTTCTTTTTGTTGATGAATAGTCTCATAGAAGTCCTTTTTGTAAATACCAATGTTTACTCTTTGAGGTATATTTTGTACTGTATTACGACAGCCATACCAGCTTCCTTTTAAGTTAGCTTTTGCCCGATACATCTTTTTCCATCATGTTTTCTACAACGGCTTTAAATGAACTCTTTACTGTGGTTTTTTGTTGACTCTTTTTCTGTATTCCTTTTGCTATCTTTCATGACCTTCTTTTAGATTTAGTTCTTTTGATTTTTCTAAACTTTTCCTTGCTAGCTTGGTTCTTACACATTCTCTTGCTATCATTTTAGTGGTTTCCTTAGGCATTATAATTTAAATTCTTGACTTATGAGACTTACAATAAGTCAACATTTAAGTACATCCCAAAAAGTAAAAAATAACCTTATAACTCCTTAATTGTATTTGCCCTTTCAGAAATCTTGCGCTGTTGTTATCACACATATGTATTCTCTCTGTTTTTAAAATAATATGGGAAATCATTTTCTAATACAGACAATATTTATTTAGATTTTCCCATATATTGACCTTTGATTTATTTCTTCATCCTTCATGCATTCCCTTCTCTCCACCTAGACATATATCTCTGAAGAACTCGTAGCATTTCAAATTATATTTTCACCAATCATTTCCGTAGTTTGTTACTGGTATTTCTGTGTGCGTTTGGGATGCGAGAGTGTTTAAAATTTAATTTCTTTTAGTCCTTTAACAGGTGTTTTATGGCTAAAAGAAATATGAGAAGAAATAATTTTTTGAAACTGGTGAAACACATTAAGTCACAGATTTAAGAAACACAAAGATCCTTAAGCAACATAAACACCAAAAAAAAGTGTGTATATATATATGTAGAAAGACAGAGAGAGAGAGAAAGGGGGGGGAGATTCACTTTAATGAGTTGTCTCATGTGTTGTGACTCAGCGCAAAAGGTTAGCAAGTCTAAGTCTGAGATCTTCAGGGCAAGTCAGCAGGCTAAAGATCTAGGAAAGAGCTGATGTTGCAGCTTGAGTCTGGAGGCAGAATTTCCTCTTCCTCTGGGGACTTCAGTCTTTTTCTTTTACTGCCTTCAACTGATCAGATGATGCTACCACATTGTGGAAGGTAATCTGCTTTACTCCAAGTCTACGGATTTAACTGTTTATTGTGTCGGAAAAATATCTTCCCTGCAATATCTAGACTGGTGGTATTTGGCCAAATATATTGGTATGATAGCTTAGCCAAACCGACTCATAAAATTAACCTTCACATATGATATGGTGCAATTGCTCATAAATCAGGTCAGAGCTATAGTTACTAGAAGATTTCCTACCTTTCCAGTAAATTATTAGATTATTTAGATTTTTCTAAAGTATTGCAATGGATACTTGCTAATGCTTATGGATTTTTGTTTTTTAATTTATTTTCATTTCAGGGGTATATGTTTAGGTCTGTAATCTAGGTAAATTGCACATTACAGGAGTTTGGTGTACCAATTATTTTGTCACTCAAGTAATAAGCATAGAAGCTGATAGATAGTTTTTAGATCCTTTCTCTCCTCTCACCCTTTACCCTCAAGTAGACCTAAGTATCTATTGTTCCTTTGTGTTCATGTGTACTCAATGTTTAGCTTCTTTTTATCAGTGAGAACATGTATTATTTGGTTTTCAGTTGACTTGGAATAATAGTTTCCAGCTCCATGCATGCTGCTGCAAAAAACATCATCTCATACGTTTTTATGGGTACATAGTATATATAACCACATATTCTTAATCTAGTCTACCTTTGATGGGCATTTAGGTTGCTTTGCTACTATGAAGAGTCTTTGCTACTGTGAAGAGTCTGTGCTCCATGTCTTTGCTACTGTGAAGAGTGCTGTAAGGAACATACAAATGCATGTGTCTTTATGTTAAACAATAAGAGATCCTTAAAGGAGTGCTTAATATGAAAACAAAAGATTACTACTGACCACCACAAAAACACACTTAACTACATAGACCATTGACGCTGTAAAGCAGCTAGACAATAAAGTCTGCGTGATAACCAGCTACTGACATGATGACAGGGTCGATCCACACATATCAATACTAACCTTGAATGTAAATAAACTAAATTCTCCATTTAAAGGCATAGAATGGCAGGCTAGATTAAAGAAAGCAAGAACAGAATGTATGCTATCTTCAAGAGACCCATGTCACGTGCAATTACACCTATAGGCTCAAAGTAAAGAATGAAGAAAAATATGCCAAGCAAATGGAAACCAAGACAAAAAACAGGAGTTGCTATTCTAATTTCAGACAAAACAGGCTTTAAACCAACAACAATAAAAAAAAAGATGAACAGTATTACATATGGTAAAAGATTCAATTCAATAAGAATAGTTAGCTATTCCCAAAACTGGGTATAGAAGGAACGTACTTTAACATAGTGAAAGTAATATACGACAGACCCACTGGTAATTTCTACTGAAAGGGGAAAAACTAAAAGTTTTTTCTCTTAGATCTGGAACACAAGGATGTCCACTGTCACCACTGTTATTTAAATAGTACTGAATGTCTAGCTAGAGCAATTAGACAAGAGGAGGAGATTAATGGAAAAT